TGTGCGCTCAACACTTGGGAAGTAGTTTTGCATACCTGTACGGCCACCAAAGACCCTCCCTGCTGCTTATTAGACCCTATGTCTGAATTTTGAGAGGGGTTTTTCATTTTGACTTCAGTGAAAGCATTCATTTTCATAGCGTTGGTATGGCAGCTTTATTTAACGCATATATTTTTGTAATTAATGCGACTTTTTTCGCACTCGAACGGTAGAAGGCAATGGCTTCATTCACTTAAACCACACGCATACTTGATATGGACTTGTATAAAGTGAAGTCCATAAGTGGGCAATGGGTACAAGCGAACTACCTTCTCTATCGGGACCTTTACATCCCCAAAGTGACGTAGCTGTTCTTCTAGCTCCTAGGGAACTTTCTTCATCGCCATCACACGTGATCAGAGAGGATCCGTATTGTCGTCCTCTACGAGCTATCTTCCTCGCAGTCAATTACAAGGTTGTCGTACTCATTCGTACCCCAGAAAACTCAAAAAACCTTTTTCGCTGAAACGTTGCCTATAGGTGTAATTCGATGCCCTGATCACGAATATCACATTCGTTTCGAGCGCTGGCGTCATTTGGCGCCATTATGCGCCAATTTGGCGCCATATTGGCGCATCATGGCGCCAAATCGCGCCAAACCTGTGGGATATTCTTAATCAGGACCAACAGAATCAACCTCAATTAACCCCCATATGCGAGTTTTCATCAACTTTGGAGGAAAAAAGTGGTGGGCGCCAAATTGGTGCATAATGGCGCCAAATGACGCCAGCGCTCGAAACGAGGGTTAAAACCGTGATCAGGGCATAGAATTGCATCTGTAGACAACGTCTGGGGTAGGAGAGTGGTTCAACAGTGCCTAATATTACTTTAGTTATGGTAGGCACGGTCGCAGAGGTGTTGGCTGATATTGTGTGCGTGGGTGATTAGAGCTACCGAACATGTTGAAATCTTTCGTTGCCCACACACGTCATTTTATAGGATGGTGAAATTTCGCAGATCACGTACTTCAGGCAGATATGCATGTGTATTTGGTCCCTTGCATGAACGAGTTAGGTAGAAGTGTAATTTTTCACGAAAATCGTTCGCGGGGCTCAATAAAGAGCAGGGAGTTGTCTTGGTGGTCGGACAGGTATGCAAAACTACTTCCCAAGTGTTGAGCGCACGTTTCAAGAAAAAGCAAAACTACGAAATGCATCAAGGACTCGAACCCCCATCGCACGACTATGAGTCCATCCACTTACCTACTGCGCCACCGAGCCACGATGGCGGTTGGGTCACGAAGGGTTTACAAGCGCGAAGCATAAGCAGGGGGCGCACCGCAATGGTTAAGCACAGTAGCAAAAAAGGTCCGTAACTCCTCACCCAGAATCGTTTAGCAGATTTGGAAGCCAGATTTGATATCAGCGTCCGAAGACGCTTCTAGGAGTATACATCTCATTCTGAATGGCCAGGACGAGTTAGTATCCTTCCCTTGTTAGTTCGTTGCTGTAACATGGATTACCTTGAAGTTTTGCTAGCGGTTGTTTCCTTCTCTCTTGCCGCCTGCTCCTATTCAAGCGTACGCTACGCATCCCCTTACTGTACCCAGTTTGCCCGATTCAATCCATATGCCTCCTTCCCCTGCATGGGCTCAGATCCGACTGAGTACGCGCAAGGGAGTGAGGATGGGAGAAGGGGGTCACTCGATACTAACTCCCACCTTCCTCACCTCACCCCATTCCGTACTCGCCACTCCATCCCCCCACCACCTTGCCCCTTGCACGCACTTACGTCCAACTGCCACGCGAGCAACCCGTGCAATGGCTCGGAGTGTAGTGGTTTTCTTATGTCGTGGAGAGTGTTATCACATCCAAAACAACTTCTTAGTTCGTTACGGTAACATAGAATGGCTTACTAGTTTTAGTCCTTTGCTAATGGACCCCCTCCCCGCGACCCCTTCACTCTGCCTCCTCCCATACATGTGCCCAGCTCCGGCTGAGCACGTGCAGGAGAGGGAGGCAGGGCGACTGGGCACCCCCACCCCCCCGCACGAGCACACGTCCAGCTGCCACGGCAGCAGCTCGTGCAATGGCTCGGAGTGTACCGAATGGTTGTCTTATATAGCGGAGGCTGTTATCACAATCAAATCATTGGATTGCTACATCCTCCCAGTCGGTTACCGGTTTGCCTAGCGGTCGTTTTCGCCTCCAGCGAACTCGAACCCGTGAAGTATTTTGCGGACGGACAGACAAACATACATACATACAAACCTACATACAAACCGACACACAAAGTTACTGGTTTATAGAATGAAAGATTGAGTTTCAAACTGATGAATGAAGAGTGAAAAAAAAAACATAATGGAGACCTTTCCTCAACTCGGCAGTTACAGTTGCGAAAAAAAAACTTGAAACAAGCTAACTAACAAGTTATTTCTTGCCTCTCCTTGATTTGACCGAAATATCGTAGACAGAGTATGCTTGGAAAAACTGCTGTCGAATCAGTAGAAACGACTCTGAGCAAAAAAGAAAAGTGCGGGAAAACTATGTTTCAGTACCCAGATCAACAGCGGGATGGCAAAATGAAACAGTAAAAGAATTCCCCTCAACCCCATCAGGCATCTTTGAGATGGCTTGAAACAAATGGAAGAAGACACCAAAATGTGAGCAGTTCCATGCATTTCAAGGGATTTGGAATCGAATACCCGTGGGTATCTCCTGAAGCTCCTGCGGTGTCGACTCCACGGATTGAAGCCTCTAATCAAGTCCAGTAGTAAGCGAACCAAATTCCAGAGCTGATAGTTTTTTCTTGTTGAATTTGCGCTATCTGCCCACCTTTCCACTGTATTGCTGTTGAGTAAGTGCTTCAGAACTGTTTGAAACGCGATTTTGTAATTTGTTCCAAGTTTTTTTTTCGCAGATGTAAGTTGGAGGGAACTACAACCGATGTCTAATGAAGCCGAATGCATATCAGGTAAAGTGGGTCCAGTTGGACTGCAACCTGCAAAAAGCGGTAATCTAGTACGATTGTGGTGTAAAGGATGGGGGAAACATTTGAAGTAAAGCGCCCAGTATAACAGTGGATCAGGTGCTGACAGGTAGACTGGTAGACGGAGGGACTTAAAGAACCGAGGAGTTCATCCAATATCATCTTAGCGATGACCTTTTTTATCAGGTGTGAGGATAATGAATAAGATTTAGGATAATTAAAAGTGCTGACGCCACATTGAACGTTGACCCGCTTCTGGGCAAGTGATCACTTTATATATCGTCGTCGTCTTCTTCTTCTTCTTCTTCTCCTAACGTTGTCCCGCTTGTGCAGGGTCGTTCTTCGGATCGAAAGTCGCCACTTTGCTCGATCTAGTGCATCTTCTTTAGAGAGGTTGACCATTCTCAAGTCCGCATTTATGGTGTCCTGCCAGCGTTGTTTTGGTCTTCCTCTCGGCCGGTGACCGTCTACTTCAAATCGATATGCAATAGAAGCGACGGTATCACGCTCAGCTCGCAAAACGTGGCCATACCACTGGAGTCGTCTCTCTTGCATCTTCTCGGCGATTGGTGCGACACCCATCTGGCATCTAATCACATCATTACTGAT